TGCACTCAAACAATACAACCCCAACATAATAGCCAGAAATTTCGCCTCCACCTACATCTACCCTTCCCTCTACAAATTCACGATCCCTCCAAGCCGTCTCAGAAATTCCACCTCCACATCATGAATCAAATTATTTTACACCGAAAAAACTCAAAGTGCGAAACCAAATTGACGACAAGATATAGAATATCAATCAAAGAAATAGAAAAGAAATGGATTATCAGTACCTAGGATCGAAAATGGAAAACCAGTTGAAGTTTCGGATTATGGGTGCTGAGATCGGAAATGGAAAACCAATAGACATTTTGGATTGTGGATGGAATCTCCAATGTGAGCCCTAGCTTACGGGATTGAGATGGGAGAGAACTGAGAAAGAGTTAAGAGGCAGAAAATGCATTTCCCGTGTTTTCTAAATTTAACGTGTTTTTGCATTCAAAATTTCCAAAACTTCCAAAACGTGGTTTTGTTTGTTTTGTGTTTTCAGTGTAATTTTTTTTTCATTTTCAAAAACGCGTTTTCGAAAATAGGAAAGAGAACGCGTTTTCACTGTTTTGAAAAATCGAAAATAGAAAATGACTTGAAAACAGTAAAGAGAATAGGGCCTTTGTTTTTAGGACGTATAATACGGTTTTTATTGAGTTTAATTTATTTAGAGCCTTAATCTAATTTTTTTTTCAATTTTCAGAATATGCGGCCTAATTTCTCCAAATAAAAACTTATGAACTACCGTGTTTCCAAAAAGCATGATAAAATACGGTGTTAAAAAACGTGGTTTCCAATAACGTCTTTTGGACAAACTTCGACAAAAGAGAAAATTAGGTGAATGTTTATTAGCAGATCAAATTTGCAAATTATAATGCACACATAAAATCTATAAGTTACAAATAACTGTTTTGGCATTCAGGGGCAGACCCAGAAATTTTTTTCAGTGCCAGGCGGTATTCATAGAGGTAGAAAAAAGAATAATAATAATAATAACTATCCAAAAACTTATTTCAATGCTACCACAAGTTACGGTATATCTTCTCTAACTTGTTTCTCTTAATTATAAATGCTATTTTCTATCTTTTATATTGGTTGCTCAGATCTTATATGTGCTCCTCTATCTTTTCCCTTTCTCAGATAGGTTGCCTCAGGAATTATCCTTTTGCAAGTAAAATTCAAGCCATCTGATTTTAAAACCTACTCAATTTACCCAACTATCCAAAATCTTTAGCAGCCAGTCATTAATTATGACATTCTTAAATTCGAAATCCAAGACAGCATCAAGAACCTCAAATCATATAACCAACCAAGCAAAGCTAGAACATAGTGACCTCATTAAGAAATTTCAAATCGAGCAAAATTTACAGAAATTCCAAAGTAATCATTAAAGCATGCATCTTTTTTAAAGCCATGAAAATTTTAGTAAATTATATGCATTACTTCCTCTGGTTTTACCTACTTCAATTGACACTGCTTCAATTTCATGAATTTGAGTGTTTTGGTGAAAATTGGGAAAATACTACTTCTATTACAAGTGTGTAATTATCCGCATAACATATATAGAGCCCATGTTGCAAAAACATTTATGTTTCTTGCTTGGACATCCAAAGTGCAATAAAATATTGTGTGGTTTGCCATGAATTATGTTGATTAACGCCTAAGGCGAGGTAGCTCGTGACTAAATTTAATAATATCATCTTCATTCATACATTGGGGAAATAAAAAAAGCAAATTGGACAAAAAATATATATATGCATATCAAGTGCATCTTGAATTTTGGAGGATCACAATTAAGTCGCTTAATTTACATTTATATCTCAATCATACTTTATATCACTACTTTCCTCTCTTAAATAAAAATTATATTGTTGTAAAACAACCAAGATACCATAATTGCTCTGATACCAAATGTTGTGAAACAAACCGTCGGATTGAGATGTTGAAATTATAAAACAAATAATAATGAAGTATATAATCAAATAAAAGAATAATAAAGACAAAAATATGGCAGATGAATTAAGAAATTTTATTGATTCAAGAATAAGAAGGAGAAATTATAATAGATCGTATAATTCTAGTAATCTATTTTCTCACACCATAAAATTGTATAGAAAAATCTAGTATTTATAGGGAACATGTATGGGGTGTCCAAACCCTCCTAGTAGAGAGTTGTTGATGAAGTAGGATACCAAAAAATTGAGTCCAAAACAAATTACAACTCCCAATGGACTTCCAAAATAAAACTCCAACTTGACATAGGACTCCAATAACATTCCAAACTGAATTCTTTTTGATGTACACTTCAATTAGAATTCTTCAGTTACTTCAACAAGGAATTCGAGTCACACCCAAATTCTAACACATATAATTTGCTAAAAGAGTTTAAATAGAAACTCGATTGAAACAGGAGGATAAATTAAATAACTCAATTATGCACATTAAAATTCTTGTAAGAACTCCCTCCTCTAATACCATTCAAGATCTTTGCTTGAAGATCCAAAGCCCTTTCTTTAAATCCTTCATCACCCAAGACTTGTTCCAACTTGTTATTAATTTCTCGGTGTCTGATTCCACTTTTATCTTTATTCAGTTTTAAACCAATCTTCAAATAATCACAAATGTAACTCTGATTAAAAATCTGATCTAGGAAATAGGGTCCGCACAGAAAAGGGATTCCATTACATATCCCTTGAACGGTAGAATTCCAACCACAATGGCTGATAAAACAGGCAATAGAAGGATGAGATAGTAGTTTTTGTTGCGGTGCCCTACTCACCATCCGCCCTTGATGGCGCACTCTTTCTTTTGAAACCCATCGGATCTGCATTGTCCACATCTTCGGTATGTTTTGCCGCACAACCCACAACGATGACCGGTTCGTCATTTCAAGGCCAAGAGCCAGTTCTTGGAACTGATTCTGCTCAAATATTGTGAAGCTTCCAAATGCAGCATAAATGACAGAGTTAGATGGTTGTTGATCAAGCAATGCAAGGCAACCTGTTGAAAACAAAATTTAAATAAATTTCTAATTTAACAGTTGAGTCATTTAGACAGGATGTTAGCACACGAAGTTCAAATATCAAGTCTCATAGTAACTTGTTAATCAAAATTGTCCATATTTTAGACATTTGATAGGAAAATAAACTACTTGAGCTTATAAACGAGATAGTTAAATACAACCTGTGTCTTCTCTCCAAAAGTTTCCTACGGATTCTCCAAGCCGATTGCTTGCCGGAAGAGGATGTATGGGTATAAAGTCTGGAAATGAGGCAAATGTCCCAAATTCCAACAAATTAGATGAGTTGCAAACTATCCTATCTGCGGATTTCACTGCTTATGAAATTTGTACCATGATTTTGAAGATGAATTTTGCTGTCATTTCATGGTTAATACAGGTCCAGTTCAAATCCACAGTTTTTATCCGGGTATAGCTGGTGAAAACTGAATTACCTGATTTTTCATTGGTATTCCTGCAAAGATATTTCCGACACTAGTGTTAGTATAACAACTGCTCACTGATTCACTGTTAAATCAATAAATATTTGGACCCATGTCTTCTAATATATTTTAAACTGTACTCAAGTAACTCATCATCACTGTTAATGATCCGATCATCAATAAGGCTTGGAATTTTGACGACCAGGGCGAATATTGCGGCTGAAGCCGGCCAGAAAGCTGCTCTCTTGATTCCCATTTTCTCTGAAACCTCCAAAGCCCCACCCATGTGAGCGTCAGCAATTAAACAGCTTATTTTATCACTTTCAGAGTTAGTCCGTTCAATAATATCCTTCAGCTTACCCGGCATGACTGTAAAAATGGATTCTGTCTGTTTTCCGACATCGCTTCTGTGGTCAGAGGATTCTAACCCATCAGGGATTGTAACCATTTGTACAAGTTCTTGAATGAATGAACTCCGTATTGACAAATGTGACCTTTAAGCCATGTTTTACTAAATGGAGCGTAAGTTCCATTAGGGAAATCACATGGCCTTGTGCTGGATATGGTATAAGCAAACATGGCAGTTTTTCACGTTTTCCTTTCCTCCCGGCAAAATTCACCTTTGCTCGGTCATAACAGAAGTGATTGTTTCTGCCATCCAGATGGCTAGTCTAATGGGTGGCACTGGTGGCAATAAGGATGCCGTTGACAAGTTAGAGAATGCTACGAGTGAGGAAATTTTTAAGTGAATTTTTTTTTTTTTTTTTTGTCTTCACTAAGCCAACACAGACAAATTATTATTAACTAATATTTACGAGTAGTATGCAGGACATTTAAAACATAACTATTCTAAATTCTTTATTAATTTCACTTGGAACTAGGGGTAGGCAAAACTCAATCCAACCCACGAAAATCGACCGACCCGACCTGACCGAGTCGAGTCTGTTTTTTGGTGTTTTTAAGCGGGTTTCGGGTATTAATTTACGCTATCGGGTCGGGTTGTGGGTTAGGCAAGGCAACCCGGTGGAACCCGACCCGACCCAACCAGATGAACATAAAAAATTGAAAAAAAAAAAAGAAGAAAAAAGCGACATAAAATGGAAAGAAGCCCTAGAATTTTTAATCGTCTTGCCTCTCCAGTCTCCACTCCCGCGTCATTTTCTTCACTCTAAATTCTTCACTCTTCTCCACTCCCAGCCTCATTTTCTCTCAGCTCATGGTGGCGGTGGAGTCGATAAACCGAGGGTAAAATCGACGAATAATACAGACTGCAGCACTGAAGGAGCTGTAACCGATATTCAGAAGAAGAAGAAGAAGAAGAAGCGAGTCAAGAGGTATTTTTTCCTTACTTTTTACTGTTTACAAATTCAAATCGTGCAGTTAATTTCAGGAGTGATTGTTAGGGTTTTAGCAATGGGTTCTTATGGAGGAATTTTTCAGGAGATGGAGGTGTACGATGAAGATTTTGTGGTCTGGAATTCGCCGGCTTGGATGTTTGGTGTACGGCAGCAGAGAGGATTGGAGAGTCTTCTTTATCACAACAGAAATGCCCGTGTGGTGGTGCTTTGACAATTGAGCTGAATTTCTTCAGTGGGTTTCTGAAAGATGGGTAACTTCTTGAATATGTTTCAAACATTTCTCCATTTAAGATTGTGCATTTTGTCTTCAGATCTTCAAATCTATGCTTCCATGTAAGGGTTTGCATATTTAAGCAATTGCCTATGCTTTTCAGTTTTCGGCAGAAACATGAACCTATGATATTATTAACCTATGATATTACTATGTGGACAATGTATGTGTTGTTATGGCATTGTCAATTTATGTAGCAGGTTTCGATCATGTAGGATTTTTTATTCTGATGTGTGATAATCTTAATTTTGGTTTATATGAAAAGGATGAATAAGGGAAATAAATCATTGCTATGTGCAATCTGTTCATTCTTGTTTCACAAAAAGATAAGCCTTTGATGTGTGTTTGTGTATGATATTATCAGTTTGTTCAATAGGTTCCAAACTCAGATGACTCCTGGGGAGAGGAGGGAGCAATAGAAGAATGAGGCGGCGTTGCGGAGATTTTCATAAATGTCACTAAATTTGAAAATTCACAAAAAAATTTCATGTGCACTAAATTTGTTCAAAAATGTCACTTTTTTGTTGTCAAATGTCCAAACTACCCTTAATGTCACATTTGTAAGAG